AATGCAGTGCTGTTAGAATGTTGGGGATATTATGCCCCCTTTACTAAGCCTTTGCAAATTTGGTGCAAAGTTGGCTTGTTTGTTGAAGAATGAATAGAATTATTTTGTGATCTAAGAGTGATTGCCTTCTTACTATATAAATACATCTTACACAGAGAGTAATATTTATATTTGCCAAAATGTAGAGAACTCAATTTTATACTAAGCTGAAATGATCAAATCAAATATAGTAAACCTGGAAGGTCATGGTTGCCTTTAATCCCAGCACTGGGGAGGCAGAGGCAGAGAGATCTCTGAAATCAAGGCCAGCCTAGTTGACATAGTTTCAGGAGACCCTATCTCAAAATCAACAGCAAAAATAGTACACCCATTTGATGTCACCAGTATTCTGCTTCAATTAGAAAATTTGATGTAAAGTAGTAATGTAATAAGATAAAGGTCATAATATATTGTTAAATGAAAATTTCAAATCTGGTTTGTTTATTATTTATTTATTTATTTATTTATTTATTTATTTAGTTTTCTGGATTTTTGAGACAGGGTCTCCCTGTAGCCCCAACTGGCCTGGAACTAACTATGTAGACCAGGCTGGCCTCGATCTTTCCCCACCCCAAGTGCTAGGATTATAGACATGAGCCAGAATGCTGGAAAGTCCATATTTTTAAATTCTAATTAGCATGCTCTAAGTCTTCTTTCACAGCACTGAAGCTATCTATGATTTTAATTTATGTTTATCACCATATATCTGCATGTAAATAGATTGGCTTAGTTATTGAAAAAAATGAGAGGAAAACTTATAGATCGTTTGTTGCCTCTAATCAGATCTTTAAATGCTTTCAAATGCATTTAAACATTACTGTACTTATAAATGACTTTAATTTTTGATTAGAAAAATGTGTTGTTTTAAGAAATAATTACTGATATATAGAATTTTAAAACTACACTATAGCTGGGCGAAGTGGGACACGCCTTTAATCCCAGCACTCTGAGGCAGAGGCAGGCAGATCTCTGAGAGTTCAAGGCCAGCCTGGTCTACATAGTGAGTTCCAGGACAGCTGGGGCTACAGGGAGACCTTGTTTCAAAAGACGAAAGAAACAAAACACAACGACAAAAAAGCCCTACGCTATAATGTTAAATAAATACTGTATTTTGAAATTCCTAAAAATAGCAATAGCATTTTTCAACAATGAACCCACTTTAGACACCAAACACGTGTGCTTTCAGGGTCCTGCGTTGGTGTTTGAGATGTGTCTTGTATATCGGGGTGCTCTGCGTACTCGACAGAGTTTGCTTGTCCAAAATGTGTAGTTTTTCTAATTCGGTATTGCAGCATTGATCTAGTTTCTTATTATTAGAGTCTTATATATTATGACATCATTTTAGACATCACAAATACAGAATAAAAGCAAACTATCATTTTACAATATTTTGTTCATAGCAATGAATCAACTGTTTCAGTTTAACATGGAATAGCATTGCATAAAATCATGCTATAAATAAACAGTCTAGTAAAAAGTAAAAGATCTAAAAATATTCCTGGGTGCTTAAACTTCTTGCACAGAACAATTCACCAAGAAGTATCTTTCAAAACGATGGAAATAATGCATAAATATATGACATTTTTCTTATGCACATTCCCAAAATCTGGCTTATAAAAGCAATTTAGATATGAGAAGTATTTCTACTAAGTATACAAGATATCATCTGCAAATAAGTTTAGCTCTTCATCATGTGTATCGACTACTCAATTTTTGACCCTGTGACCAAATCCCTGGGAGACTAACTTTAAGGAAGAAAGACTGATTTTGGCTTTTGGTCTCAGAGGCCTCGGTTCTTCATGGCAGGGATGTGTGGTGGAGCAGAGCAGTGCGTTATGGAAGCCAAGAAGCAGAGAAAGGGACTACCCAGGCCAGCCAGGGCACCATACAGCCCCCAAGGACAAGCCCAGTGTCCTCCTTCCACTAGCCAGGCCTCATGGCCTATGTCTGACCCCCTCCAATAATGCCTGTGTATTGTACATCCTCCAAGGGTCGATTCTGTCATGTGTCAGAGCCCTCATGGACACCTCTAGGCATACTTTACCGATTTCTTGAACACATGTCACCATACACAGGCATGATTAGTGTCTACCATCTGTTTCAATATATCTTTTAAATGATTTCAGAATGTGTAATAAATGTATAAAATGCCAACTTAAACTTGCAAAAATTAGGGCTAGTTGAGTAATTGTAATGAATGCATTTTAGTTGTTGAAGATGTTGTTTTGCAAGTCGTTAATTAAGCTTCTAAAGCCTAGGGATAACATAGGTTTGCTTGGTCTCTTCCCAACAATTACCATGACTGTCCATTAAAAATGAATAAATGGTTCCAAAGCAAAGTGCAAACTGGAGGCTAGTTTGAGGAAAAGGGAGGCAGAGGGGAGAAAACTGCCAACTTACTCAGTTTTAAGGTGGGATCATTGAATAGCCAAAAACTAACTTAAAAATGGGTTTTGACTCTTTAACCACTGAAAGGATAATAAAATACTGAAATGGAGTAAGTAAAATAAGAGAGATAGATAAGGTCCAGGAAGAAGGAACGAGACATAGGATGTGTAATCTAGAACATTCAGCTGAGAGAAATAGTGGCAGGCAGGAAGGGAGAACTGGGGCCTAGAAGATATAAATGAGAAAGCACATTAAGCAGTGAATGAATGGGTGGGAGGATGGTTGGGTAGATGACAGATAAATGGATAGTCAATAGGGAGATGGGAGATGACAGATGATGGATAGATAGAAGAAAGAATGATAGGTAGATGGCAGGCAAATGGTAGATAGATGATACATAGGTGATTGAATGATGATGCATAGATGGAACAAATGATAGATAATAGATAAATGAGAGATAGCTAATATTTTATGAACTTTTAGAAAACTTCACCAACCACTCCTGCATATACGATTTAGTCTCATTATAATTCTGAATTAGAAGACTGTCTCCACTTCACAAGTGCAGTTCAAGCACCGTGGTTGTCCCTACAGCACTGAGGACAATGACCATGTCAGCCACAGTGATGGCTGCTGTGGAAGTAAGAGAAGAACAGCAGCAATAACTGCCCCACACTATGCTGGTCACTACAGCAACAGCACAAATGAGTTATTCAATCCTCAGAACAGAGCTTTGAGGCAAGTACTACTATCCTTACTTTAAAAATTATAAGACTCGGGCTTTGAACGTTTAGTGACATGCCCCAAAGAGGAAAAGAGTTAGATCCAGAATTCAAGACCACCTACTTCCAGGCCTGTCCTCTGCATAACTGCACTATAAGTTCCTTATCTGAAGTTCCTTCCACAGGGACCAAAAGAAAAAGACTCAGAGCGTGTACCTAGGCAGTGCCTCTGAGCACCAGCTGCAAAGAGAAGACCCATTCTTCACTGTAGCACGCTCGCCTGTCTTTTCTTCCCTTGCCCATCCTATGTCCCACCCTTGTAAAGACAAGCCGTCACCTGGCCCAGTGGCCCTGGCATCAGTTCATCTTTCTACCCCTGTAGCTCAGTATGAAGATCCCCCAGCAGGCCTATTTTTCAGTGCCATGTAGACCCGCATGTTATGCAGCTCAGTCATGCATACCATGGGGCTGACTCTGGATAATAAAGAAATGATAGAAAAAAGAATTAGATACCTACATTTCAAAAACTATTGGTGAGGTGAGCTGAAGTGTGAGATCAGAAGCTTGCTACCTCTGTATTTACACACACTCAGTTGTATTCAGACGAGGCACACAGTCTTCAGGTGGTCACTGAACAAAATGATAGCAACTCAGAACGTGCTTCCAAGTATTCTACTCTTAACAAAGCAAAATTTAGTTGTGGACCTATATATACTACAGGAAAGGGTCTGGATGGTAGAGTGAAAATGAGAGGCTAGTTTGTGTTTGTACATTTAATTTAGGGTCCTTTTGTCTGTGACAATATGCAAGACATTTTGCTTCTATTTCCTCATGTGCTGACCAAGATCCTTTTCCAATCAAGCAGTGCTGTTTATACTTGGCTGAGGTGGACACTCAGTTTTAAGGAGAGAGAGAGAATAATTCAAATAATTAGAATTTAAATAAAAATGAGAAAGTAAAGGAGAAGAAAGAAAAAAAAAATCTAACAAATACTCAAAGCCGGTGTCATTAATGCTTCAAAATGGATTTAGTGTAAGTGGTAGTACATTGTGGTGGTTGTTACTGTAAGAAAACACTTGGCATAAACAACTTTTTACTGGCCTATGCTTTTGGAGATTTCGCTTCATCGTGGTGGAGAGGGAGCACAGCAGTTTATGTCACAGAAGCCAGGAAGCACAGAAGAGGCTGCTCAAGCAATCTGACTTTTTCCTTTACTCTTCTGTTTCATCCTAATCCCAAGACATTGTGTGATGCTGTCACATTCGGGGCAGATTTTCCCCCTAGTTAATCCTGCTTGCACAGTCCCTTGAAGACACACCCGGGGGTCACTTTACTAATCTCATAAGTGCGTCTCCATCCAGTCCAATTGCCAGTCAAGATTAGTCATGGTGGGGACTTGGCTTGTTTTTTGAAAGAAAGGGTCAGTTGGGCATTTACTTACTGGAGCTATCTTCTTTTGAATAACAACCACTACCTTTGGGGAGTATTTGGAAGGACAAAGCTCTATCTGAGAAGCCAGTGTTTCCGTGTGTTCTCACCAAGCTTCATTTAGAATGAGGATCCTTCTTCTGAAATTGGTCCCTAGGGGGTGAAAGGAGATATCTTACATATTATAAGCCAGCTCCTTTGCACACACTATTAAGCTTTTCGTTGAGCTTCCTTTTCTCTAGCTGATGCTTTTTAATGATTTATTGTGGGCTAAAAGCTAAGTACATGTATGTGTTACGTGTGGTCTCAGCGTCCTCTGCTCTGCATCATTTGAGCCTCTGGATGCAAAAGGAAGGTTTTTGTGGTGATTCTTTCTCAGTGCCATTCCCAGACTGATACGTCTTCTTAAATTCTGTATTCCAGGCCCTGCTTGACACTCAGAATCTTTTGCGTGCTCAAATCACAAATTTTACATTCAACTTGGGATTTTCAGGGAAATTTTATCACACAGGTAAGGCTCCTCTGACCACTCTATTTGGGACCGCACTTCCCTCCTGTCCCCACTTCCTGCATCTTTTATGTCCCTCCCCTACTTTTCCTCATAATCATTTAGCTCCATTTAGCACACTATTTTTAACATTTAGAAAATGTTAATGGTTCTAAAGTTTATGGTATTTTTCTAATGACTCTCCTTTCTACTGAACTATAATTTTGATATATCCATAAATAATAAACGTAACCTTCAGTGAATTTTCACAAGCTATGCACAGTCACGTAACTCTAAGACAGATCAAGAAAGAGAACACTACCAGAAGCCCGTCCGTCTTTTTCCCTTATAGTCACTAGCTCCCTCAGAGAAAACTGCTGTCCTAGCTTCCAATGCCTTGTTAGCTCCACCTAGCTTTGACCTAAGTAAAAGAATTCACTAGTATCCAGCTGTTGTTGTTGTTCAACGTTATTTTTGTTGCACCGATACGTCACAGAGATTGTAATTCACTGACCTCTTATTCTGTAGTAGTATTTCATTGTCTGAACATTGTCTTTACTCATTCCACCCCAGCATAGACGGTTGGACTCTTTCCAATCTTTGGCTTTTCTTAAATCATCCCGTTAGGACATCTTCATCCCTGTCCTTCAGAGGACTTAAGTATTCTTTCCTGTTGGCTGTCAGGTGGCAGTGAAATTGCTCACTGGTACACACATGATCATCTTTAAGAGGAAATGCCCACTGATTTTTCAAGGTGGTTTGTCCACTGTGTGTTTCCAGCAGTGTGAGCAGTGCTGCTGTTGCATGGCCTTGCATTTCATACTGTTTTACTTTTAAAGTTTTAGCCTTTCTGTAGGAATACAGAAATTCACATGGTGGTTTTAAAGTACATTTTTCTGCAGTGAATAGGAAGTGAGCTTCCTACAATGTGTACTGGCTATTTGGAGATCCTCTTTTGAGAAGCAATTGTTTGTTTCTCTGTTTTCTCGTTTTTTATTACTGATTTGCAGCGATTTCTAATCTATTCATAACGATGATTTCCCAGTTCATGTGTTCTTTCTTTCACAGTCTGTGTCGTTCTTTCCCTCTCGTCATGTTTTTGGTTAACAAAAATATTTAAATTTTAATATTCCTCAATTTATCTTTTCTTTTCTAATCACTTTTTGAATCTTGTTTAATACACAAGATCAGTTGTATTTTCACATACCATCAACAGAGTTTTGGAAAGTTAAATATATATAAAGTACCCACTTACTATTCCATCAACAAATTTCAAAGAGTAAGTCTAAAAGTTTTGCAGTTTCATGAAGTGTAACTTTAAAAAGCCTAAATATGTCCAAGGATGGGAATACTCAGTATTTACCAAGTCAGTCCTTCCAAATCGAACTATAAGCTTAATATGATCTCAGTCATAATCATAACAAGTTCTTTGTGGACGTTAATAAACTGATTCTAAAATTTATATGAAAATACAAACAGCCAAGAACAGTCAAGTAATCTTGAGGAAGGTGAACAAAACTGCAGTGGTCTCACTAGCAAACATTGTTATTAACTATAAAGTCACTGCAAGTAACTGTGATGACAAGGAGCAGATGCAGCCGGAAGGGGAGCGAGGTGGTTGCTCCTCTCTGACAATGACACTTGGTGCGGTGGGGAATGGTCCACACAGGCGTGCTTATCTCCTCTCTGACAGTGACACTCAGTGTAGTGGGGCACAGTTCACACAGCATCTCATCTCTGACAGTGGCGCAGTGGTGAAAAGGTCACACAGGCATCCTAGACTCAAACAATGTTTTCTCTGACAGTACCTCATTGTAGTGGGTGGAAGGACAGGCTTTCCAGCACTTGCTGTCAATAGCAGAACTTTATGGTGAAAAGACAGTAGCTTGATCCCTAGCTGAGAAAACACAAAAATACATTCCAGATGGATCACAGATTTATAATTTTGTGATATGCAAGGTTTCTTAAACAGTATGAAGTGTTTCTCATGAAAGGATCTCCAACGTGCAGAAGTTCAGTGTATGCGTCTAGCAATGTGAGCTATGGCTCTACTACATTTCACTATAAAGTTTTCAAAGAGCCCCCAAAAATAATTTTTGTAGTCTCTCCCTAAACAGACCTTAATTTCAAGCTGTTAGATTCTTTGACATCTGTGAAAACAGGAAATTAAAATGCAGGTAAGGAATCAGGATAAAATCAAAGATATAAGAATATATATAGTATGTTTGAAAGTGGTTGTGTTAGTTAGACTGTCACTGCTACAAATCCTGCAAGAAACCATTTGATGGAAAAGGATTTATTTTCGCTTGCAGTTGCAGAGGTTTTACCCACAGTTAGTTACATCATCATTTCCCGGCCTGTGGTAGGGCAGAGTGTCATGGTGGCAGTATGTATTAGAGCAACTAATCTCATGACAACCAAGAAACAGAGACAGACATAGCTAAAATTCCTCCTGGGAGGCACAATGACGTCAGGCCCTGTCCTCCCTTGGTCCCTTTGACAAACTGAGGTCCAGTTTTGCCAAACTGCAGCCTAGGAAACCATTGAGTTTATTGAGTTTACTTACAGAGCAATGGGTGAGAGTTTATTCACAGGAATGTGGGTGTTACCCTCCTAAGGACGCACTGCAAAGTTTCCATCCAGGCATGGATAATGACTTCCTTACAGTGCACAATATGGTGAGAGAGCCGCCACCCAGCTTTCTCAGCTTATATACCCTTAGCCCCTCCTGGTCATGGAACTGGGGTTCTACTGGTTGGTTTTGAGGTGTGGCTGACTCTCCCTACCCCTTTCTTGCAGAACTAACAGTCAACAAGTTCGGCCATGATGATCTTAGTAGGTACAACCAAGCTTGGGAAGAAGGCATCGGTCCATAGTTTTCCTGTTGGAAAACTGTGTAGCTTTTAGACTTACTCTTTAAAATGTGTTGTTGGAATAGTCTTGTGCAACAGAGGAAAGGGACTAGGGGGAAAATGTACCTGAGAAGCGCATCTCCAGTGACCTAGTTCCCCCTGCTAGGCCCCTCTGCTTCAAGCTCCTACCACCCCCACAAATAGCACCACCCACTGAGGACCAAGTCTTCAACACATGAATCCATTGGGACATTTCATATTTAAACCAGATGGTGATTATAGGAAGAGCCATAGAAACAAAACCAGCACAGCCCAAACCCACAAAAGAACTGTAAGAAGACAGGCCACGCAAGTAAGAGGCCCTCAGTTTTCTTACTTCAGATACATAATACTAGAAGTGACTGTCTTGCTCCTTCCTCCTGAGTGCTGAAAATGTCTCTCTTTCTTTTTAATCTGCGTACTTCCCACAGCTCCAGTAAATGTGGTGTCTTTAAACCAGAGGAAGCACAACACAGGGAAAACCTAAAACCAAGGTTTCTGAGGTCTTGTTACCTGTGTGTCACAGAATCATTGCCAGGGATGTCTAGGACCAGTAAAATTACTTTTCGTGGGAATAAATATAAAATTTAATTCTCGGTCTTTCAAATTAGATGTTATAAAATTTAATTAGAGTACATCATCTTTCTTTGTAAATAATTGGTTCCTTTTTCTTTTGAAAGCTCTGTCCTTTTGCCCAGTCTTGAAAGAGAAAAGCAGTACTTTTTAATGGAAAATTTTTCTTTCATAAGAAAGCCTTTTCTTGTTTGATTGATTTTAATTTTAAACTTGAAGGACCTTATTTTGAATATAGAAGGGCCCAGAAGTCATATAGCTATTTATGTCTCTACCCTCAATTAATCAGAGTCCAATTTTCCACTGAGCTTCTACTGTTTAGCAATCCTTGGTTAGGATAATTAAATGGAAAAAGACTTCCCTATATCTATGGGTTAGTAAGGCTGAAATACTTCACAAAAACACCAGAAAGCAACATCTATAAATTCTGATTATAACATAGAAATAACTGAAAATGTTATAAGCAGTATAATGTTAAATTAATAAATTCTGACCCTATTTCTGGAGTCCATATTTGGCCAGCTAAAAATATCTAAGGGCCCTGAATTTGGAGTTGCTTAATTAAATTAAAATTCAGGATGACCCTCAACATTTTCCGTGACTTAGAACAAGCTGCTTGTCCTCTCCAAGGATCAGTTTCCTCAGGCTGTAAAATGAGTCTAGCTGTCACCCTTACTTCGTAGGGATGTTTTAAGATTTCAACAACACAGCATTATAAAGCATTAGGACTATCTTAACATAGTAAAGTCTCAAGCAGTGCCAGTTTTTAATATAAAATCAAAGAAGGATCTACTGCAGAGATAAGGTTTTCAAACAGATGAATAGCAAAATAAAGTTAACCTGACAGTAACTTTATTAGATTCAAGCACAATTTTGTAATAAGGAATTTGACTTCTCATTTCCCTGTCTTCCTCCAGTTCTGACAAAGAAGGCCAGAATAATCCAAATATAAGCAACTACATTTCAGTTGTTTTATCATAATGTTTAAAGTAATAAAACAGACACTTGCTCTCAATATAATTGATTCTGAGTTGAAGTATACCCAAAGTGAGATCAAAGGAAATCGGATAAACAAAGCTATTAAGAAAAAAAAGAAAGACATAAAATTATGCTTACTGTAACTTCAGATAAACCTATGAGATGTCAGAAATCATTTATCTAAACCCAGCACGATTCCAATACATAAAGTCTTAACTGCAAACCTAACCATGGTATTCAGAGAAGGGGGACTAATAAACTTGAGCTATCTTTCTAAAGAACTCTGAGTCCTGTTGCTCTCTCCTTATTTAGTAAACTCTGAGCAAAAGCTAGCTAGCAGATGAGGGAAGACAGAGTTATATGTGACAAGGGGCAGCGGAAGAGGAAACACTTCACAAAGTGTCCCAGTTCACTCTACCTTGTAGCTAGGGGGGTAGAAATTGGGAAAGGAGCAATCACTGAGAGACCCCAAAAGACTTCTATGTCCACTGTGATAAATGAAGCAAAACACTAACTTAAATGACATTCTATACTGAGACCATGAACAAATTATTAAATTATTTCATTGTACAACACGTTTTATTTTATTGTATAACACATGTCAAAATAATTTACTGCTGTTAGTTCACAAAATACAAGACTCAATTGCATGACATTATTACACCCTCTTCTTTACTCATATTCTTATTTGTAAATTACTCAATATTCTATTTATCGCCTATTCTCTCCAAACTACAGCTTGTATAAGACACTGATAACTATCTAAAGCCTTTGAAAATGATTAGCTAAGAATGGCTTATTATTAAACATGATGTTTAATACCACTTTTCAAAGTTTTGGGGCTGGGCTGGAGAGATGGCTCAGCAATTAAAAGCAGGTACTGTTCTTGTAGAGGATTCAAGTTTGGTTCCCAGCACCCACATCAGATGGTTCACAATCACCTTTAACTACAGCTCCAGGGCACCCTCTTCTGGCCTCTGGGACACCTGCGTGAACATGCACATACTCATACACAGGCATACACATACTTAAAAATACAAACCAATATTTTTAGAAATGTTTGTTGCCGTCTCTGATTGTTGCCTAGTAGATTTTCCTTTGCTACATTTTAGGTTCAACGTTCTGTATGTGTGTATGATAGCGTAAATGGTGTCTTTTAAATAGAGTACATGGTAGACGATAGATGATAGATATAGATGATAGATGCAAGTGGAATTACTGAATAATCATTTCTGCTCCTGCTCCTGTAGGAACAGAAGAAGAAGATGAAGGGGATGATTGTCTGTTGGGGTCCGTGGATGAGTTCTGGTGGTTTCCTCATATGTGGAGTCATATGCAGCCCCACCTCTTCCATAATGAGTCATCTTTGGTGGAGCAGATGATTCTCAACAAAAAATTTGCCTTAGTAAGTAACCCACTTTGACTGCTGTGCTGAAATTTGTGTAAGTGGTCAGAGAAGCAGCAAGGACTTTGACCTGGAACTTCCTCTAGGCTTTCTGCACGGGCTCTCTTTAGGCAGTTTTTTTCAGTGGCCATTGGAATCTTTATATTACCTTTCCATGTGTGGCTCTTGAGCTTGTACTCTACACTCATCACTGTGTTTAATGCTCTGAGGGTCTAGTTTAAAAAAGACTTCACAAAATAGAAGACTCGATGGCATTGCCTTATGGTTAGAACTCATAAGACCTGTCTCCTGTCCAGAGGAAGTTCCTGCTGTACTGGGGAGGCAAAGTATATACAGTAAATAATTCTCTAACAAAATGAAATGTTCTATGACCTGATATCAGAGTCTTTAAGAACACAAAAGCACCAGTGCAGAGAAGCAACTGTCCTCAGAAGTGGTGGATAAGTTATTGTGAAAATGGGATTGGAGCCAGGTGTGGAGGTGCATGCCCTTAGTCCCAACACTCAGGAGGCAGAGGCAGGCAGATCTCTGTGAGTTCAAGGCCAGCTTGATCTAAATAGTGACTTCCAGGAAAGCTGGGGCTACAGGGAGGCCCTGTCTCAAAAAGACAAAAAGAAATAGAAAAAAAGAAAATGGGATTGGGATTGGATCCATTTTGAAATTCAAACAAGATTTAGACGTCAGAATGAGTTGGAATGAAATGAGACTGGGATAAAGGAACAGATAGAGGGTCTGGAGAGATAGCTCAGTGGTTAAGAACACTGACTGTTCTTGCAGAAGACCCAGGTTCAAATCCCAACACCTATATGGCAGCTACAACTGTCCATAATTCCAGTTCCAGGGGATCTGACAGCCTCTTCTGTCCTCCGTGGCCATTACAGGACACAGGCGCACTTACCTGCATGCAGGCAATAAACACATACACGTAAAATAAAAATAATAAAATTTTAAAAAACTACAAACTACATTTTTTTTCTTAAAGATATACAAAGCCAAATTCTTTATAGGTAGCAATTAGAGAGTACATCTACTCTCCACAACAAACAGTTTCAAGGGCACCTTTCTTATGTACTGAGATTTTGTCAAGAAAGCATGTGTAGGGCTTCTCAACACCAATATAATGAAAGTATTTTGACAATATTTGCAAGCTTCTGTCAAGTAGAGAGCTGCCTTTTTACCCCCAAATATAAACAGGAATAGTAAAGATCATGTAAAATCAAATAAATGCTGCCCCATGTTGTAATACAGCAGAAAGTTCTATCTAGGTGCCGTAAGTTTTACTGCCGCTATGTCCCGAAGGCTGCGGAGAGCAGCAATGTTGGTCAGCAAGAGGGAGTATAGTCAACAGATGGTTCCAGGTGCTTCACGAATCTACAGAGAGCAAAGAAAGGAACTTGAGAGAAGCAAATGTGCAAATACAGTACAGTGAGGCATCAGTGACCTAAAGAAAGTGGTTATTGTCCTTACTGGGGCTTTGATAACCTTCAGAAAACAGTGCACTGCGGTTCTGTTCCTTGAAACTAGAATGATATGTATAGACACCCAGGTAACCTATTGTTGCTTGGGTGAATCAGTGGATGGCAATATTGTGTTCATAGTTAGAGCAGTTTTAAATGCTTGAAAGTGAACCTAGTAACAACAGGCATGTACAAGACTTTATATGCACTTCTCATAATTTCATAAGTTGAAAGAACAACTCAGAATCAAAATTTTATAATTTTTAACTTAATCTAAGTATCAAGCAAAGATTTACGAATGCCATTCCTGACTATACACTGGAAACCTAAATTATATTTCTTAGGCAGTAGCAAATAGTCATGAAGGGTCATAAGAAATATAACCCCCCCCAAATTATTTTACAAAAGAAATAAAGCCCAGTATATTGTTTTAATATCGTCAAGTGGATTTCTTTAATTAAAGCAGAATAGATGAAGGGAGAGAAAGACTGAATTTCCTTTAATCCCAGCACTGGGGAGGCAGAGGCAGGCAGATCTCTGTGAGTTCGAGGGTAGCCTGGTCTACATAGTGAGTTCCAGGCTAGCTGGGGTTACAGGGAAACCTTGTCTCAAAAAGACCAAAAAAGAAAAAATAAATAAAACCCGAAATTCAAGTCCTCTGATATAAAATGCCCCCCCCAGGCCTCCTCACCCCTTTTACAGCCCAGTTCACAGGCGTGAGTCTCTTCTATTGGGTAATTCTTGGGTCTGGCAGGCCCTCTTGGCACTGTGAGGGAAATGGAGAACTTGCGGGGTGGATACTAGGAAAATCTTTCCCTTAGGTTTCCCAAATCCCCAACAGAGTCTCTAAAATGACCCAGGAGACAATCTGGGGCTAAGAAGCTTTCCACATGACTGAATCGTATTTATTATTAGAATAATAAGTAACAGAAACCACTTGAATTCAGTGGAAACTATTCTGGAGGAAATTTGCCTTGACTATCTACTCATTAGAGGCAATAAACAAACAATTAACCTGTGCTAGTGCCTCGTTTCTAAACTGGGCTTTATCCTTATTTTCTCCATGAGCTTGTGGAGTTTTCACATGAATATGAATGTTTTCCAATGAGAATACTGAAAAAAAAAATGTGCAAAAAACGTTACAGGCTGCCTTGCGAGCCAAAGGGTATTCAAGCGGGAGTAGAGACATATGCAAATGGGTGTCAGAGTGAAAGATATTTCAAGTGCCCTTTCAAATAAGAGTCTGAGCCTGTGATCCTGCACTCCCAGCCTGGTCTTCACCCTCTGCACCAAAACACCTGCCTTTTTTATTGAGTACGAGCAAGTGTGTCTGGACTGTTATCCTTCTGCATGGTGTGGACCCTTCAAGTTATCTTTGAAAGCTCTGTCTGATGGCTTATTGTGATACATCAGGCAAGTCCTTTAAGCAGACTTACAGTTGGTAGCCTCAGTCATCAAAGGGAATTCAACTTTACAGACTGATCAGAGGGAAAAAAATTAATGACTAAATATAAGCTAATTCAGAAATTAATTTTTTAAAAGATTTTTAAGGTATCAACCTTGAGTTCAGGATCAACTGTAGCATTAATGATTGGCCTGCCACATACCATAGTTTGGAATATCTATTGTATGGCTTTAAAAGGAGACTAAAATATCACTAGAAAAATAAAACAATACTGCACTTAAACCTCAAAAGCTCATCAAGCATACATTTTCTCATTTCAAAAATTGGACCCAAATTTTGGCAAATAGCTTAAGAGTTTAAATTTTAATGGTGAAATAAGTAGTATTTTTTTATCATAAAACTTATCGGCCTGGACCGTATGGTGTTAACATTGCCATAGGTGATTTGATTAGAATTAGTTGCAGTGAAGCAATATTCCTGGGAACAAAAACTCTTACAGAGGGTTGGGCCCTTGATTGTATCATATCATTCTTTCAAAAAGAGTTCTATTTCCACAGTTTTTTCCCAGATCGGCAGAATTCACTAATTTACATTAGGTGGACTGTCTATTGTCAGTAACACAACTTTTCAGATTAGCAAGCATATTAACTTTTCAAATATGGAAATAAAGATTATAACATCAAAATATAATTTAGAATATGTTGAAAGACTTGCCAGCATAAGAAATATGTGATCATCTTTCAATTAGTTTGTTTGCCAGCAAGAGAAGAAAAAGTCCTGTCATTTGCATTTTTATTTCTTTACTAAAAGGCACATTATATTTTCATCTTCTGTTATTATTAAATGCAAAGTACAATTTTAGCAGTTTTAGAAATAGAGATCCAGTCAAGATGAAGAATCTATTCTGAGTTGATAGACCACCTTCTCAAGTAATCAGAGCACAATTTAAGAATGTCACTGGCCATAAATCAGAGCAGAACGACTAAAATATCTAATCTACTCCATAAAATGAATGTATGGATGCATGAAGGAAGGCAAGAGATCAAAGATTAAAGGATAGGTTATCAGGCTCATGTTCAGCTTCAGAGTGCTGGTATGCCATGCTAGCTCCTACAATATGAAATGTGAGAATGGTATTACCCTAACCTCACTACCACCTCACATCCTCCCCCAAGACATTGCAAGCCTTGCAACTACTCAGCAACCCAAGGGTCCATGGCATTAGTAAATATTTTGAGAACGCTGAATATATCACCTGAATATCATAAGTGTATTTTAAGACTTGGAAGGGACTAGACTCCGTACATTCATAAAGGGAATCACAGAAGGAAACAAGGAGCAGTGTTTTTCTTGTAGTGAGTGGAAGCAGAATGGCATTTGTATCTAGAAGCTCAATTAAGTTAAAATATAAATAGATATTTCTTCAAGCTCTTAACTTAATTGTGACATTAAAATGGAGGTTTTATCATCAAGAGACAAGTGACACTGAAAAGACAGATTCCTACAGGAAGAGGGGGGTCACAAGTGGTTATGAACCACCTCATGTGGGTGCTAGGAACCAAACTTGGGTCCTCTGCAAGAGCAGTGAGTGCTCTTAACCCATGAGCCATCTCTCCAACCCCAAATTAAAGCATTCTTAAAAAATACTATTCACGTTATAATTTTTACATTTAAACCTGGTGACTTTTTAATTCCTTAGTCTACATTTTTTTAATTTGGTATGTAGGCTTTTCCTTTACAGCCACTTTTTACTTTTTTGAGTCAAGGTCTCACATAGCCCAGGCTGGCTTTGAATGAGCTATATAAAACAATCTTGAATTTTGAGCCTGCCTGTTCCTCCAAAGTAAGTGCTGGGATTACAGGCCTGCACCACCATACCCCACTTTTTTTCCTTCCTTCCTTCCTTCCTTCCTTCCTTCCTTCCTTCCTTCCTTCCTTCCTTCCTTCCTTCCTTTCTTTCTTTTTGCCATTTATACTTTCTAAACTCAAATCCTTAGGACCATTGAGTATAATCTCTTAAACAGCCAATGTCTGCATTTGGGGTAATGGTTGAAGGAAGTGTTTTTCCTGAGGAAGACCTCACAAGAATTCCCTGATCTTAAAGCACAAAACAGGCCTACATGAGGCATCTTGGCGAT